GCTGCAGTTTGCGGACCCCTGGTATAGGCCATGGCCCTGCCCCTGTAGATGATCTCAGATTGGAACTCCTTTGTTCTGTCTCATCTGTCTATACTTGCCACCTGCTTTCTGTAATCCAGAAGTGCGATGAAGTCTTTTGCCTTTTGATGTCCCCTCCCATTTTGTTTAGTGTTATCGGGTTGTTCCTTTTTTATTCCATTAGCTTCCTTTTAATGGAGTGTCAGAAGAGGAGCTTAAGGCATGGGCCACATCTGCCAACTTGAACCTGAAGCAAGGCGCTCACACTGTTAATGGGGATATTATCCTGCCTTGCTATGTCTGGCATAGTTAGAGATGATTCAGATATCAATTTAAAAAAAACAGCAGTAACACTAGGTAGAAGCTCAATTAGACAGCTTTGTTGTCTCCATGGATCAAATTAACTGGAAATCTGAAAGATTTCTCCTTATTTTATGTCAAGCAAATAGCAACTTAGGTGAAAAACATAAAAACACAGGGCCTTTTAAAGTACATTCATTAAAAAAATATTCTATGTAGTTGCTTTTCACAAAAGCATTAGGAAGGAGAGTTTGGAAATAATAAAATTTCCAATTTCAGCTGATTGCCTATACTCAGCAGTCTAACACCTTAATGGGAAACCTGTTAAAGACCCATTGGCCGATGTAAAGTGAAAATCAACTTCCCCACCATGCCTTCGTGACAATGATTGGAGGCTATATTATCTCCTATCTTATGGCCAGCTGAACACATATATCATGGACTTTAGTGTCCTGAGATTTGTAGAGAATTACTGAGGTACCCCCTTCTAAAGATTCCAGGAATGCAAAATTATTTCTACTTCAAACATTTTATTTTATATCCAGAGTTGTTTTCCATAAATAAATACAAATGTGTGTATTTAATAAGTGTTCAAAGTAGATCTTCAAACTAACCTAGGCTATAAAAATAGTTTTTGTTTGTTTTCTCAGAACACTTGGACTAAGTATACATTCAACTAGTACTTCCTGAGGTTCTAATATGTACCGGCAACTTTTACAGAAAGTTGGCGAGTCCTATGCTGTTCTCCCTTTTGGCTGAGGAGGAAACCCATGCTTAGAGGGGAAGGGTTGCAGTAACAGATGGCAGAGAGCCAGAATTGAAAACCAATTCTCTGATGCTAGAGTCAATTTTCTTCCATGATTGCAGGAAGCAGAATATTTTTCTTAGTGCTTTATTCACTAGATAGAGGCAAACTGTTTTATACCAGTTGGAACAATGGGCACAGCTGAGAATCCTGTTTTTTTGTTTGTTTTTTAGAGAAGGAGTCACTCTTGTGTTATGAAGCCAGGTTAAGGCCTTCGTATTTTGGGCTTCATTTTAGCAATGAATTAAAAGTACTGATTGTGTTGATCACAGAGGTCATTTCATTCAAGTAGAAAACAATGCAAAATGCTTAAAGAATGCTTGCTGGCAAGCTGCTAATGTGCTTTTGTGAATAAGAAGAAAGAAAAGGTTTGGAAATAGGTTTAGAAGGAAATGCCATTATTTAGCCTAGCTGGAAGAAGTCTTACTGTTAATGACCAAAATGTGGAATGACAGCTACTCAGCCAACAAAGATCTTCCTAAGCAATATGGAAGGTGAGGCAGAGACCAGTGGTAAGCTCAGCCCCCACACATTCACCTCTACCACAAACAAGGCCTCAGCCACTTACCAGGCAAGTGCCATTCTAAATGGTGGGTTATGAATTCTATTTAATGACTTCTAGGCTTAGAGTCAGTTCTAGTTCTTTATTATTTTTTACCCTGGGAGGTTCTTCCTTATGTCTAACTTAGCATGAATGTGGTTTATGAATGTCATGACCAGCTCAATCAATCCTTTCATGACACATTATAGGGGATAGAGTTGTACAGTGGAGTCAGATGTGATTTCAAACATAAGCTGTGCTACTTTCTATGTAAGTGCTCTGGGAAATTACTTAACCTCTTTGTGAATTAAAATTTAGAAAACAGGAGGCCTGGTTCATAAAACTATTTTGGAAGTAAAATCAGATAGATGGATGGATGGATAGATAGATAGATAGATAGATAGATAGATAGATAGATAGATAGATAGATAGACAGACAGATAAATGATACATCTAGTTTGCCACATAATAAGCACTCAATAAACATTAGTTTCTTTTCTCTTCCCTTGAAGGAATATCCATGGATTGGTACCATATTTATTCCGAGCAAGTTCCACATTTTGACCATAATCTCATTAAGCACCGGTGAAGTTCCCTTCCCTGTCAATATAGAGTCCTAACCCTGTCAATGTTTTCTTGATAGAATGCTGTCCACCCCTTTGTTAACTCTGGGTGTCCTTTCCTTGGCTCTTTCCACATATCTGGTTTAATGTGCAGAATTCAAAACTGATCACAGCCCTTTGGAGGATGTGACCAGCAACTGAGTTTTGTGGAAGAGTTTTTCTAAATTAGGCACTTTCTTGAAGAAGGAAATTGAGGGGAGTGGTATGCGAGGTGTGGTTGCAAGGCTGCACTGACTTGCACCGTAGATGCAGACTCGTGAACATTCATTCTCAAGTTCAATTGGGGATGTCCAGAGGCTGAAGAGGCTATTTCCTCTTGTGTGTTTAAGTCGTCTCTTTGTTTTGAACTTTCTAAGATACGTATACATGCCAGACATTTAAGGGCATTTCTTATCCTGGTCTTACATTCTTTGTTTTGCAGCTGAAGATAAGTCAATAGATAAAAAAAGGCTTAGGTTATTCTTTGGTGTATTTAATAAGCATTTAAGTATAATCTTGGTCATTAAAATATTTTTATGTAAATATTAACAAGGCAATGAAGCAGACTCAAACAATGATTTGGATTGCTTCCACAAATAATTATTACCTGTGAGTACAGGAATATGCCTCTCCAAAGTATAGTGAAAATACCAGTCTAAAATCCTTTTTTAATATAAATGAGAAATTCTCCTGCCTGATAAATTAAGTATATCTTTTGTATAAGAACAACAATTGCAACAACTACATAGCAAACACACATATAATGTCAGTACTATTATAAAAAATAATATATATGAATTTAATTCTTGAAAAAAAAAACCCTGTAAAGAAATATTTTTAGTATCATCATTTTACAGATGAGGAAACTGAGGCACAGAGAAACCAAGTAACTTGCTGTCACACAGCTACTGAGTTCCTGAGCGTGGATTTACATTTTGTGAGTCAGGTTGGATCCATGGTCTAGGTTACCTTACATATTATTACGGAACAAAATGCTATGAAATAGTGATTGAGACTGTCTTGTGTCTTTTTTTTTTTTTTAATGGAGTAGAACATGTGTTTCAATGGAGATAATGTCCTGTTGAGAAATAAGTTACTTAATTTTCCAGAGCTAAGTTCACTCACCTTCCCATGAGTCTGGGGACATTCAAGAGGTTTTCTTAGCTGAAGCCAAGAAAAGGCACTCCATGAAAACTATTTATAAAATGTATGCAGTTCCATGAAGGAAAGACTAACACCTCCCTCCCAGGTGGATGTCCACTTAGCCATGGAGTTTGTGGACTTGCCCTGTTGTTACTGAGGTTGGAGAAGAACACCAGCGGGAGAGAAGAGGAGACGGTCAGCCAGGGAGAGAGGCAGTAAGGACTATCCCTGGGAAGTTCCACCTGATGGGCAGGAAAGAAGGATGCTGCTGTTGCTCATGCCTGTAAGCCTCACATTAGAAGCTTCCGAGGACAGATGAGAAAGGGGACTATGGGCTTGTGAAGGATTATTGCAGCTTGGGCAAAGTGGTGAGCACATCAGAAGACTACAATGCACTAGCACTAAGGGTGTTTTGGAAGAGAGCTGAGTCTCCCAGGGCACCACATGGCTGGAGGAGTTATTTGAGTCAAATAGCACCAGTGCATATTTGGTTCTCTACCAACCCAGGCTACATTACCAGAGATAACTAGCAGAAAAGAGAGAGCCACAGTAGAATGGTAAAGAAAGGCTATTTCCCACTTCCTTATTTATGCCGAATACGACCAAAGGATAAGTCTAAGAGAAAGAAAGACCCAGAGGGTGGTACGAGGAAGACAGAGAGAAGATCACACCTCTATCAACTCCAGAGTACATTGGTGGAACCCAAGTCTTAATTATGTTGGAAGGAGGGACAGAGGTCTGAATTAAACATCAGATTTTAAAATAGAGGGGATTAATAAATAGTAAAGTTAGAGGTTTGACTTGAAATGCCATTAAGAAAGGTTAATTGGGAAATAGGGTTAAACAAAGCATAGTTGGTAATAGATATTGGAAAAAATAAAATACTGTAACTTTTTTACATTAACCAATTAAAAGTTCTCAATTAAACCAGTTGCAGCTATAAGGCAAGTGGAGGGAAATATCAACCCCTTCACCCCAACCTCTTCAGCTTTTATCTGATTGGAGAATTTAGAAAAATAAAATACTAAGTCCTCTCACATAAGCCTGCCCAGCCAACATCTCCATTCTCATATCCACTGCCTCACACACCCTGTGCCTTAGCACTGAATTACTCAATGGCCTTTCACAACACATGCTTGCTCACATGGTCATGTGTATGCGTATGTTCTTTCTTCTGCTCAGATTCATCTTCCTTCCAATATCTGTCAGGCAAATGCCTCTGGATGCCTCAGTTCTCAGCTCAAGAGTTATATCATCTCTGAAAGCATCCTGACCCCCTTCTCCCTCTCTCTCTGATACCCATTCTCAGCCAGGTTTCCTTCCTGAATCCTCCGTTTAATGAGTCCTCTGAAGGGAAAGCAGAAGTCTTATTTGACTTGTTCAATCTACTACATTGCACAGTGTTTGGCACATGCCATAAGCTTCATAGATATTTGCAGGGGGGGGGGGTTGTGTGAAGAGAGGGAGAGAAGAGGAGACGGAGGGAAGGAGGGAGAGTAGAAGAGAAGGAAAGAAAGGAGAACCTTTCTTTATGCTGGAAATGATGAGGCTGCACAGTTTAAGAGAAGGATCCGTATTAGTCTAATCTTACCCTTCCAGTGAGATGGCTCGTTGGAGAGTCACTGAAGGCTGGCGGGTTGCAGTGCTGTGTTGGGAATGACTGTAAGAAAAGAAAGAAAAACAAACATAGGTTATTTATTTAAAAAGTCTTCACACATGATAATCAGTCCTGTTGTCAAGAAAAGAACCAACCTTGAAAGAAATAGGTAGAGATTAAATCACTATTCTTTGGCAATAAGTAGAATCATCCTCCAAATACAACATACAACCAGATAAGGGGCTACTATTTCCACATAATTTTATTTCAATATGTATTGTCAAAAGTAATCTTTAAATAACAGGTAGACATGAAAATAAATAAACATATTTGGGAAAGGTAACATTCTTCCCCTTGAAATAAGACAATATAGAACATAAAAACAAATTTCATTATGATGCAATGTATTATTTTTCTTAATGCAGAATATTTTTTCCAAGCAAAATTTTAAAAAGAGTGAATTTGCAAATTGGAGTTGTATTTAACTAGTACAAATTTATTGGTTCAAATTTGTAACACTTAATTGTACAATTAATCATTAACAATTCAGCTGTTGAACGAACACAAAAACTTGAAAAATGGGACTTCCAGTTGCATATCAACCTTAGAAGTTAATGTAATTCATACTTTGTTTTGGGTGCATGGTAACAAGAAAGGATTAATTTTACAGATAAGTGGTTGCAACAAAAATTATAATATCTAACATTTATTGAGCGTTTATATTTATTGATCACTTTTCTAAGTCTATATGTTTACACCTTTTATATCTCACAACCCTATGAAGTATGTACTGTCCCACTTAACAGATGAGGAAAATAAGGTACAGAGACATTTAGAAACTTACCTAAAGTCATGTGGTAAATACCTGTGCGTGAAATGCCATCTAGATGTGTCTGATTCTAGAGCCATTATTCTTAACCATCGTATCATACTACCTCCCAAATGGTAACAATTTTCCAGGTTTGTAAGAATTTGCTTTGCAATCTCAGAGTACTCTTCAGTTAGAAAGAGATAAAGGGACATTTTCATCTGAGATATGCACAGTGAAAATCCAACGGCAAAAAAGCATGCATTGTGGGTTTTCTATGTGTTAAAATGTATGATAAAACATATTTCAATGTGTAATTTTAATTTGTAGCATTAGTTTAACACATTAGTTGTAATATTAGTTACATATACATGTAGTATATGAAGGTGTATATGTAAAGATATATTTATAAAGAGAACTCGAGTCAAATGCTTGCAGAACATTACGCTCCTTTGTACAGCTCTAGGATTTCTCAGCATATACTCTGAAAACACTGACATGGTCACAGAAAGCCAAGCTGTAGACTGCAGATTATGATTTATAACCTTGGTCATTAGGTGTGAGAAGAGGTGGCTCTCCGTGAATAGCATTTAGTTGTGACAGGGATGGCATTTATTGGATGTCGAGAGGGTGGAATTTTGGGTCTGCAGCTAAACCCTAGAGAATGATCTTCAAGTTAAGCGTATGGTGGCCCTTGTTTCCTGGCACCCCTCACAGTGCCAGCACCACACATGTTTACTGGACATGTTTTGATTGACCAGTTGAAAAGAAGCACAACGTTTAGGGGCTGGACCAAGTAGCCAGACTGCCTGAGTTCAAATCCCAGCTCCACAACATATCCCAATGTGCCCCTGAACAAGTTACTTAAAGCTCTGTATGTCCGCTTCTCATCTGTAAGGCTGGCATATAGTAGTACCTTCCTCATAGGGTTGTTATCATGATTCAATGAATTAGGTATTTTGAACAGTACCCATTACATGGTAATAAAAACTACCTAAGTGTTTGTTAAATAAGTAAACTGATATGATTTAGCAGTGTGTACTTTGAGATGTTTGGTATTAAATAAAAATTATTATTTAGATCACTTCAGTTAGCCATATAGTCAATGCCACAAGGTGTATATTTCTGAGTATAACATAACTTTGGTGATCGACATTAAATTTAAATATATTTTCTATTGCAAAAACACTATGAAATTAATAGCAATCAAAATAAGAAAAAAAAATTGCCCATAATTCTATTACCTTATCTCAGACTTTACAGAATTATCTAATTTAATTCTTGCAGTTGTCCTGTAAGATAGGTATGAGTCTCCCCATTTTATGTATAAGAAAACAAAACACATAGAACTTAAATAACTTGTCAGAAATCAACAGCTTGCAAATGTGGAGCCAAACTGTGTTGCCTTTCAGACAGGTGAAATCAAAGCTCTGTGATTAGTCCTTGCAGAGGACCCAACACATTCAATTAGGAAATGCTGAACTCTTACTAAGGATCACTGACAGTATTTTTTTTCCCCAAAATACAATCCATTATTTTCACTGTGTATGTCAAATTTACATGTCAACTGCTTTTGAAGACCTTTTTTCATGAAATTATTTAATAGAGGGATTTCTCTGTGCTATCCATACCACCTCATTAGCGAGCCCTGGACATTTATGAGGATTTAAGTGGCCATGAATGGTGGGTGAGTCAAATGAGGATGAGGAAGGCTCAGCACCATGTCATAGCGCTGAGGCTGGAGAAGTTCCTGTCACCCAGTAGAAAACCAACCTGTACTTAGGTAGCTAGTCTGACGTGTCAAATCAGGTAACTGTGGAGGTAAATCTTGCCAAGACTTTTTAAGTCTCAGAGAGAGGTAATAGCCTTATTGCCTTTCTAAATCATGCTGTCATTGAATAACATTGATCCAGAGACCAGTAGAGTTTTTTTTTCCAGCAATTCACTGATTTTTCAAGAGTAAGACTCCCTAGCTGCTGCCTAAGAAAATGACATTTGAGTGGTGTTGAAACATGTATGCCTCCTGCTCTGTTAAATTAAATTTTTTTGAACATCTGAATTGAAATTGTTTTATTACACATGGAACACAAAGGTCCTAGCTGGTGGTGACAAATGGCTTTTTAATTTTCTCTTTGTCTTAAAGCAATGAGACAAGATAAATGGTCTTTCCAAAATGTTGTAATGTTGAAAATGTTCTCTTACTATTGCATTGTGCTGTACACCTGAAACTAATAATAACAATAATAATAATAATAATAATAATAATAAAAGACACTATCTTAATGAAGAGCACTGAAAATATTGTGTGTGTGTGTGTGTGTGTGTGTGTGTGTGTGTGTGTGTGTCTTTGATTAACAAACTGGTGACAAATTTATTTAAGATGCCTTGTCAAGTCCCATCCCTCACTAAAATACATCCTGGTGTGTTCTCAATATTCTATTTTGTTCTTTGCTGACATTTCTGAAGAACTTGCATCTCTCCTCGTCATATTTAACTCTTCACCTTTCTCTTGAACACCTGTATCCATAATTTATCTGCTCTCTTAATATCTATTTTTTCTCTTTTTCTGTCTACTTTCCCTCTCTTCAAGTACATGCGTTAAATTGCCACTATTCTTAAAATGAAGAGTATGTCTTCTTGGATATCGAATCAATATCTCAAATGCAACATAACCAAAATATCACCACCTCCCTCCATGAGGCTGGATATTCCTCCTGTTGTTTCACTGATACTTAACATGAGTTGTGTTATGTAATTATTTATAGATTCTGTTTACGCCCACCCAATGTTAATTGGGCACTTACTACATACCAGGGATTATGTTAGATGCTTGGGATGACTCTTTGATTGATTAATAGTGTCATACTCAATAAATGCCTGATAATAAAGAAGATGGTGAAATCAAATAAACCATCTGGTACTTTTTCATATGGGGAATATTTTTCAATTAATCTCTAGGAATATTTGATAGACTGATACACAAACCATCTAAGATGGATTTGGAAGGATGTATAAGTAACTTAAATGGTGGAGAAGGACAAGAGGCTTTCTGAGATGCTAGAAGAGTATGATGATCAAGGTCATGGAGGGTGAAAAGTATGTGTTGTTCTCCGAGAATCAGAGTGTTTGGCTTGGCCGAGCAGGGCCGGGAATGAGGTCAGAAAGCTAACGAGGTGTGGATCATGGGGGGCAGTGAAACCACCTCAAGAGGTCTGGACCTTGTCTTGGGGGCAATAGAGAGCTCTCCAAGGCTGCTAAGTGGGAGTGGGGAGGAGGATCAGGATTGTAAATTCTACAACTCAGAAGGGAAAATCTGAAAATACTGTGGACAATGGAAGGAAAAGGAGGAAATCTACAGGCAGGGAGGCTAATGGGAAGCCATCATGATGGAGAAAAGAAATAAATGCCTAAACTTGGATAATGGCAGTAGGGAGTAAGAAAAGGAGACACATTTAACACATTTGGAGGTAAAATATATAAGAATGAATACGAAGATGTTTTAGAGAGGGCAGTTTGATCTCCTGAATTGATTTTAGAGATCTGGATGGGTGGACATTTCTTCTGGAAGTTAAAAGCTCCTAGATAGAAGAAACCTGCTCTTCCCAGAGTGTAGATGTAGTTGTGTTCTCTTCTAGAACTTCCAAACAAGCCTTCAAAAGTAGATTGACTTTGGTGTTAGAAGGGTGTGGTGGTGATAAAGAAATGAATTGCGTTCTATCACTGACTGAGAGGATGACTACACTGTTAACAGAACCAAATAGTACATGAGTGTACAGTTAAGTACATGTATAGATAGAAAAATATAATTGAGTTTGGTTTTGTACAAGAATGCTTGATGTGTCTATTACACATGTAGAAAATATAATCTACATTGGAGCAGCTATAACTATTGCCAAGTTCTTCCTTCTTTTGGTGTAACACACATCTGTACATAGTACCCACTGAATGACAGATATTCCTCGCATTGTCTGTGTGTTAAGTGCTAATGAATTGACTCCAACTCCTGGAGACCCTACGAATAAGATCCACAACATCCTGTCTTTAACTGCCCTGATCAGATCCTGTAGACACATGCCTATGGCTTATTTTATAGTCAGTCATCTCATATTTAGCCTTCCTCTTTTCCTCTTTGCATCTTTTACTCCTCAAATAAACATTCATAACACTTTTGTTTTTTTCTTTATGAGATGGTTACAAAATTCCTACCTATATTTTTCTTTATACTCTTAAATTTTCCTTTTAATTATTATTTAAA